TCGGGGGATAAGTTTACTTCCGATTGCGTCCAAGCTATTGGCTTCCGTCATTCTTCGTAGGTTGTTCAAAACCCGAGAAAGATTGACTCGCGAGGAGCAGGCTGGGTTTCTCTCAGATCGAGGATGTATTGATCATATCTTCACCCTCCGCCAAATGTTAGAACACCGCCATACTTTTCAAAGGCCAACAATCGTAGTGTTTCTTGACATCAGGGCTGCCTTCGATTCGTTGGATAGGACTGTTCTCTGTGATTGTCTATTGAAGAAGGGTGTGCCTGAGAAGTTTATTAACATCCTAAAAGCCCTGTATAAAAACACCCCAGGCAGAGTAAGGGCATACAACCACCTCTCTCCATTGTTCCATTCGAGCAGTGGGGTTAGGCAGGGTTGCCCAATCTCACCATTCCTCTTCAACTTTGCCATCGATGACATTCTGGAAACAGCTCTGATGAATGTAAGTAATGGTGGTGTGGATCTGTTGCCTGGAGAAAGACTTCTCGACCTTGAGTATGCGGATGATATTGTCTTACTGTGCGATAATGCCCAAGGCATGCAATCCGCACTTAATCAGTTGGCAATCAGTGTCCGTAGGTATGGTATGTGCTTTGCACCTTCGAAGTGCAAAGCACTTCTACAAGACTGGCAGGATTCCAATCCTGTACTCACCCTGGATGGTGAGCAGATAGAAGTAGTCGAGAATTTCGTGTATCTGGGTAGCTGCATAAGTGCTGGTGGGGGTGTGAGTGATGAGATCAATGCACGAATAGTGAAAGCCAGAGCGGCTTATGCCAATCTGGGCCACCTTTGGCGCCTTCGTGATGTTAGTCTGGCTGTAAAAGTTCGGATCTACAACGCGTCGATGAGAGCAGTTTTGCTCTATGCTTGTGAAACCTGGCCTCTCCGAGTTGAGGACGTTAGACGACTCTCCGTGTTCGATCATCGCTGTCTCCGAAGGATTGCTGACATTCAGTGGCAACACCATGTCAGTAATGCAGAGGTTCGGCATCGTGTGTTCGGGCACAGAGATGATAATGCAATTGGTGTCACCATCTTGAAACACCGACTTCGGTGGCTTGGACATGTTCTCCGAATGTCGTCCCGGAGAATTCCACGTCGTGCATTATTTGCCGACTCTGGGACTGGTTGGAAGAAGCGGAGAGGTGGTCAGTGCATGACATGGTTTGTGGTATGAAAGAAAGCTGCAAAAGACTGGCTTGTGTTGGTCCTTCACGACTCCCTGGCTGGGGTCCGAGAGACGGTGCTACACAGTGGCTAGAGACGTTATCAGATATGGCTCAGAATAGAAGCCAGTGGCGATCCTGCTGTAACCTTCTTTTACTTTCTTCATAAAAAGTGGTTGTGTCTCCTTCACCTGAAAGATTTCTGATTGTACCTTTTCGTTCCGTCGTTACTACCACACTACCTTACTCCAATCTCTTCGTCATTGTTCTCTTTTTCTTTTGCGCTCCTTAGTTTTTTTTCTATTTCTCTTCGAATTCTCATTGTTTTGTGTGGCGCATATATATTGGCGCTCTCTTGTACCAATATTTATGTGTTCAAATAAATAAATAAATAAATGCGTCAAACATGAAAAAATCAACTTTGTGTTCTTGCTACTACGCTCATATATGCGTATATTTTAGTTCTCGAAAAACGTCCAAAAGATCACTGCGCAAAATATTCTCGCTGTGACATGTTATCTGCGCTCATTCATAACAGCTTTTTTCGGACGCATCGTGTCCTCAGGCACAATGACATGCATCTTCACTTTCATTTTTTTCCTCTTTAAGGATGGCTGAAAATAACGGAAAACCGACGAAGAATGAGGTGAACAGAAAATTTTCTGTTGCTATATTGTATCACATGTTGCTCTATATTAGAGAAAGATGAATAGATGCTGCTGGACATAACAAGCTATTAGTAGAGTATTTGCCAACGAAAAGCTCGTAGGGTTTAAACTATTGACTGACCGTGTCTTAGGGTCGTCAATATCTTACTAGGGGGGAAAGTGAGCTTTTTGGCTGCAAATAAACACCCAAAATAAATAGTTCTGCAGGTCATCAGCATTGCTGCTGGCCTCACGAGTTTTACTGAGCACAATTTGGCTGAAGGCGCTCGGTCACGCATATGCAGCAGATCACGAGTGGGTGCGCCGTGATACGAATCCCTTGCAGCTGCTAGATATCTCAGAGAAACACGACATATTGATGGCTTTCCTCGACTAAACGGGTATATGATCGTCTGAACATGTAATTCGAAATTCACGGGGGGAGTAAGGTGTATGTAAAAACGCTTAGTTCACTAGATACGTCAGGTTGCCTCACGTAGTTAGTCACCGCTTGAAATGCAAGGGACAAGAGCTGCTGATCGGTTTGGTCTATCGCAGTTCAAGCTGTGAGGTAAATGATGTCCTTCTGAGCAGTCTCAATACTTGGTCACAAAGTGGTCGATGTCTAATCCTAGGGGACTTTAATGCACCAATGGTAGACTGGGAAAATCTGCGAAATGAATCGTCAGAAAATTCCTTCGAGGAGGAACTAGTTGATGCGGTTATCACATGTGCTCTAGTACAACATGTGAAAGAAGCGACTAGGTACGACCCGGACACTGAATCATCCTTACTAGATCTGATACTCACTCACTATGTGGATGACGTTGCTAACCTTCATTATATGTCACCCCTAGGTAAAAGTGATCACGCAGTTTAAATTCTCGACCCCCATATAACTGTCAGTTACGAGCACTCGTCAGCCCAATTCAGACCTAACGTCTGGAAAGCAAATATACCAGGTATCATGCGCTCAGCATCGTTAGTAGATTGGACAATAGACCCAGAGCCCTCAGTTGAAAAGGCCTGGGACGCATTTCGAAATTCATACTTAAAAGTTACCACACCCCACATCCCTTGGACTATACCAAGGGGGCCGAGAAACTCCCCACCATGGTTCAGTAGGGAGGTTCGCATCCTTCTCTGTAAGAGAAGAAAAATGTGGGGTAGATTTAGGTTACTGGGATCTGATGAAACTAAATCCCAGTATAGAAAAGTCCGGAATATCTGTGCCTCGACCCTCCATAAGTCTAGAAAGTTGTACGACGAAAAGATTGTTAAGGAATCCATAGAATGTCATAAACGCTTGTATTCTTATAAAAACCAAAGGACAAAGAGAAGAGGAGATATTCCTGCACTATGGGGAGACAGTACTGCCTCATCCTTAGTGGAGGACGACTTTGGTAAGGCTCAAGTGTTCTCGAACTACTTTAGCAATGTATACATCATAGAAGCACCCTTCTCGTCAGCGCATACAAATCCCCCCACACATACACTGGATAGCGCGACCATTAAAGAACTCGATGTCTTTGGTCTGCTAAATAAGCCTGACATGGGTAAATCCATGGGGCTCAATGAATTACATCCTAGGCTACTGAAGGAATTATCTAACTTCGTTGCAAGCCCTTTAAGTACATGCTTCAACCTAGCCGTTACGCAGGGTCGTTTACCCGAAGACTGGAAAAACGCCATAGCAAGTCCTGTTTTCAAAACACGTACGAAACATAAAACTGAGAATTACCGCCCCGTTAGCCTAACTAGTGTGGTTGTTAAAATCTTTGAAAAGATTATTCGGAAGGAGCTGTTTAAGTATCTCGATAAAAACCGGATCCTCTCGGAGAAGCAGCACGGCTTCAGAATAGGCTATTCTTTACTCACTAACTTATTAGTGGCTCGTGAAAGCTGGTGCGCTCTTAAGGACCAAAAGTTACCTGTAGACATAGCCTTCATTGATTTCAGCAAAGCTTTTGACAAGGTTCCGCACAACCGGCTGTTATATAAGTTAAGAAATGTCGGGTTTGGAGGCGATCTGTTTATGTGAATAAAGGACTTCTTAGTTGGACGTCAACAAAGAGTTCGGGCGAACTCAAAGTTATCTAGCTGGGAAACTGTGCTTAGTGAAGTGCCCCAGGGTGCAGTTTTGGGACCAATGCTATTCCTCTTGTATGTAAATGACCTTCCTCGTCTCCTATCATCATCGGTCTTGCTATATGCTGACGATGTCAAGATATGGAGAACGATACGATGTGAGGGTGATAGCTTAGAACTTCAAAATGACCTGAAGAAATTATCTGAATGGTCTGAAACCTGGCAGTTGCCAATAAATACTTCCAAGTGTGTTGTGATGCACATCGGTCATCAAGGCACAGATACGTACACGATGAATAACACTGAGCTACCTGTCATCCAGACATATAATGACTAAGGAGTTATCATTAGTCAAGACTTAAAGACTACTGCACGCTGCCGTGCAATATCCGCCAAAGGTTTTAGAACGTTATGGTCAATACGTAGGGCTTTTAGTCATGTTGACGCCAAGAAGTTTTTGACTTTGTATACAGTGTTCGTACGTCCTAAACTTGAGTACTGCATACAAGCGGCCAGCCCCTGCCTAAAAAACGACAGTGAGCTTCTGGAAAGGGTTCAGAGAACGGCAACTAAGCTGATTCCCGGAATAGCGAAGCTTACGTATGAATCTCGACTGGCCAAGCTCACCCTTTTCCCGTTGTCATATGACAGAACTAGAGGCGACTTGATTACAGTTTTCAAATTGCTTAGTGATAAATTTGCACCTGATATACCCTCATTTTTCTTGTCTTCCAAAACAGAGAATTTACGAGGACACTCCAAAAAGTTCGTAAGCCGAGAACAATTTACTTGTCAGCTGACCATCGACTTTCCCATCGAATCATCAACGAGTGGAATTCACTACCTCAGCACGTGGTTGAGGCCCCATCCGTCGATTCTTTCAAAAGAAAGTTGGATCAACTGAGAGACCACCACTGCCAGGCCATCGAGCCTCCTGTCCTTCCAAAACTGAAACTGAACTGAAACTGTAGTATAAAGTATATGCATACAAAATATTAACTAAGTCAACTAGTAACTTTAATTTTGGTGTATAACATGGTATTTGAATACCTAATAATGTTTGAAGATGCAAATCCTACAGCTACTAGCCACGAAAGTAAACCATTTGGTTGGTGTGGCTCAGTGTAAAGTAGCTCACTGTGAAGATATTGAAAATCGGAAGCTTTCTGATTCCAAAGCGCACAGTTTATGACTAACGAAACATGGTTTCTGTTAGTATGATAAGTGCTAAACTATCAGACTTACATGACAACATTGCGAAATTGTCTCATGAATTGGACCTTAAACGTAAGGAAAAGGAGTCTCAAAGAAGTTTTGTTAAAAAGGTAATACGTTCAAATTGTTATCTAGTAGTTTAGCTTGACTCAGAAATCAAAGATAAACATAGATTTCTAGATAGCTTAGAACAAAAGCGTGAACAGCAGGAAAAAACTATCAGAGTTAATACTGAGCGCCTATGTGAGCTTCAAAAATCAGCTGCTGAGTGTCAGAAGTACCAAATTTATTAAAAATATTCGTTCTAGAGCACATGAATCTCTAGAAAAACGACTAGAAAGTCAAGAACAATCAATTCGTTCTCTCGAAGACGAAGTTAACGAAGCACAAAGTCTTGCAAAGTCTTCAGCCCAAGTTTACGATGAGGTTTTTATAGTCAGTTATTTTGAATTCTTCAGACTCTTAAGTTACTACAAGAAAAATTGGAGATTTTGGAAAAATATGATCGTAAAGAAGAATCTCTTACCAAGTATAACATTCGAACGTTTTAACTCGCCTTTAGGACTATCAAAGAGTTGAGAGATGAAGCTAATTTACATGGGAACAGACTACGTCGCATTGAGACACAAGGAAACGAGGTTCGATTTACTTGGTTGTTTTTGTTATTTATAGAAATCTTCGCTTTAATAGTTCTCGGAAGTGGCACACATATGCTTGTAAATATGGCTGCTCGCCCTCCACTGCATATAATCTATCTTAGAAGTAGTGGGACTAGATTGGGAGTGCTTCAGCTCAAAATAATGGATTCTTATAGTGTTAGGATTTTCTGAAGTTTTTTTTAGTGATAATTTGGGTGGTGTATGGGGTACAGACAGATGAGAACGCGTTTACTGCATCCATGATGAATTGGGACTTATATATGTATAAAAATGACAAGTTATTGTTCATTTATTCGTAGATCAAGGAACGAACTTCAACCGATTGAAATGCATCTTTAACCCGATCAAATACCTCATATAAGTCCTGACAGGTCTGCACGCAGTAGATAAGTCACCCTTAACTCAGCCCTAATAAACGTTCTGCACACTACAGTATAGTAGTAATACTATCTTAGATTTATGTTGTACTCAAAACTGGAGTAGTAGTTCCTGTAGAGTCAAGTGAATTATCTCTATCTTGTAATGAATTGCTCAATTTGGCTTGATTAGATCCTTTGGTTTGTAATGAGTTCAGCCAAAAAGCTTTGGATCATTTTAAGTGGTCCCAGTATTCACTTTAAATTCGTAGTGTTTTCGTTTAGGTCTTCATTGATTGGAGAATAAGTGACCTAAAAATTAATTCCCTCAAATCGCTTATAGCATTTTATCGCCCCCAAATGCCTTGGTACCACCGAGGGTGGAAAGAGTCAGATCTCGTTCCCGAAATGCTTTCAAACGACCACGCGTATACATTCAGACAGGGAAGTCCTACTCACTGCCTTCTCGCGGAGGGCGTGTTCTTTACGAAATTGAGAGGACAGAAAGCGAATGTCCGGTGCTTTAACCGGGTCGGTGGATACGGAGGATCCACCTAGGGGAGTTAGAAAACTCTGATTCCAAACCAATGGTTCACATGAGCTGCAGGATCCTGAAAGAACAAATGGCGTATTAACCAATTGTTGGTCACTGGCCACCATGAGACTGCATCTCCTGACGTTGCTCCACTCCCTTGTGAATTAGACCTTCAGGTCAAAGGCTCCAGGCGTGGCTCTCTAAGAAAACCACCTGTTTCGATCAAGGCACTCAGGCAGTATCCCAGCCCTCACACAAATCGAATGACTTGTGTGGCGTATATTTATTTGGTGTCTCTTTGTACCAATATTTGTATTCAAATAAATAGGTAGTATTTTATCGCGTTTGATTTGTGTTTATATCATATATGTAAGCTTTTATTGCACGACAAACTTCATATGACTAGCTTTATTGTCTTTGATTTCTAATTGTATGGGGTCCTAATTCAATATGGTCTTGTGAATAGCCATTGCTCGGTCACATCGTTTCTTTCATCCATCGGCCAGTATTCTGTCCATTCATTTTGACAATCGTAAATTTCGTCTAGTCAAGCCATAAAAGCATCCTCCATAAAACGAATATAAACCTGTTTGTGTTATACCTATTGCAGTACTCTCGCTATTCAAGGTTCTGCACTTTACTACATTTTCCACTAAATAGCTGTATTGTTTGGCCATACTCGATAAGGCCGACATCGTATCTAACTTCTCTCTAACTTTTTTAGTATTTTTATGAGTCCAGGTCTCGTATGATTTTGTTTGAAAATTGATTTATTTACAGGCAAATAAACGCATAGAATTGCTGGAGGAAAAAATCAGGGAACTGACAGAACAAATTAATTCCGTAAGTAACTCATGTTTTTCTTATTTACAAGGAGATTTGGGGAGTCTAATTTTGAATTAGAAGTAAAACACCCATCAAAAGCTTGTTAGTAAGATTCTATTTCAGCCTTCATCTGCTGACAGCGTTAACTAATCTATATAAGTGTTACTGTTTTGGTCTTTTTGCTGTTAATAATTTTTAGGAAAGCATATCCTTTTATGGATATCTCATGTGTACAAAAGGCAAGTGGTGAATAGCATTCGGAGCTAATTTTTACTGTATGGTAGTTTATTTTCACTCATCAACCAGGTACATTTTCATGTACTTAGCTATCAACCACATTGTGATGACTAGCGATACTGTCCAGTTTTTGGATATAAACTAGGTGGATCGAGCTTCGGACCTGTGACTCAGTGGCTTAAAGTCAAACCACTGATCCATTGCTTCATTTACAAAAGAAAAAGTCACAACCTGATGTTATAGTCATAGTTGCAAATAAAATACCATCGTTTTCAATCATCTGGCTGCTTAATTGTCGTTTTTACGACTAACGAAGGAATATCGCAATGACCTGCTTGTTTATCAATACTTTATGCAAGTTTCAGTATGAACAACTGCAGAAATGAAGGTAATCAATCATCTGAAGAGCACCTAGTTTTGCCTTCCACTTTTAATTAATAGAGTTATGACGGTATACATTTTAGACAATCTGTTTACTACTTAAAAGATAATGTACCTCCTAGAAGTATAATTTGCTCAAAGAGCTATATAAATTAACATTTTGAACCTCTATCATTTGGGGTTGGTGAGATGTGTTACATGTTTTCAAGCACCGTCTACCTCAGTGTTTTATTATTGGATGTTAAGGAGGGTCGGAAAGTCGCTGTAGTTGACCATTTAAGGAAAATGCTAATCTATAAAAAATAGTCGACTGTTGTTCTATGCTCAGTAAAATGGGACGAAATTTTGTATTTTGATCTGAAAGAGAAGAAACCGTGAGGGATATATCTTAAAATCGACTGATGTAGTGTGAATACATCAATTCCTTATACCCGCTTTAGTTTTAAGCATATCTTCACACTCTTTTTACTTACTATTTTAAGTTGTTTCTTTTGACTTGATCCTCTCAACTTGCGACTGTTGTTAATATTCCTATTTTTCTGCTTGTATGTCTATTCGTTTGACTTTCTCTGTCTTAATTTAAACCTAAGAAAATTCGGAAAGTTCATGGTTTTGTTATCTAAAATGTTTAAAAGAAAATGAACTTTCTCAGCATTTTAATTTCATACAATTTCATCTTATGTTTTGTATCTATATAAATAAGATCAACCTCTAAGAAAATGATTAAAGCAAACATTACCTCTTGTATTGCCTACATAACAAAGTTATACAGGAACAAAAATCGAAAATCTTCGTAGAATACTACCCGAAGTAGCCACGTAAAATGATAACATATCTAAAGCTACATAATGCAACTCATTTACTAAGTACTTGTTTGTGTTTGACTTGGAGTGTTTTTTTATGTAGTGTCTAGTATTATCACCATGTTGCCCTCACCTAAGTAGATAGAAAGGCACTTCAAAGTAAGGCAAAGGATAAACCTACTGATGAAACTTCCTCGACTGGATCTGAAGCTTGTCTGATTTTCACAGATTTCTCGAATTCAGTTCTGATAGCTATGATAACTTAGTAGGTGACTTACTACTTCAGTCATCCAAATTTTTCAGTTTTCATGCCATCTTTACCTTTGTTTTTGTTTATAAACTGGAACAATAGGCACTCTGTGTCGTTTAGATGCAGCTATTTGACTACCGAATTGTAAATAATGTATCAGTCGTAATAACAAAACTTGGAAGATTACTCTGGGCTTCTAGAATGAGTCCATCGATGACTACTTCTATCTTGGACCTCATAAGTTAGGGCTCCCAAAATTCACTGATATTTAGAGTCCATACATTAGTCTACCTTTCAGGGTGCTGGTAGTCGATAATTAAAGCTAGCTGAATGGTTCTCCGAAGTGTCCTGTACTTTTATAATAACCTTGATTTTGCTTGCCCATTAGTCTTTGTTTAATTTGGAGAGAAACCAGACTTTAAATATCCTACGGTCTCGATGTGCTAAGTTACCTAGTTCAATTCTGACACTTGTAACCCATGATTTTGGTTTGTTACTGAACAGCTCCGAGGGCAGATAAAAGTAGAACCATCCTATCACTGACCAGTGACCTGACTGGTTGCCACGGATAAAAAATAACTATAGCCCGATTTACATGATTCTTTTAATTCAAAAAGGTACATGGACAAATAGGTGAGAACAGTACAACATTACAGAAACAGCATAAAAGGATCTTGTTTAAATTGCAATAATCTTGTAATGGTAGGTAATATAACACTAATTTGTAGGTTAAGGGAAACCCTAGGATGCGTAGGATAAATTAGGCACATAACTGTTTGTAATTTACAGATTTCGAGGTAAGTGAAACAATACTCCCAGAAATAACTCACTGTTTGTCATTTCTCCTTCATTCTTCTCTTCACTTCTTTCCGATTACGACATAACTGGATCTATCTGTGTGTGTGTGATTATCTCACTACCAGCCTCTTAATCAGTTTAGATAACTGTTCACGTGTAACTGGTATTGTTGTCCTCATCTATTAATGTTACTGTCAACTACTGATCAGCACAGAAAAACATACATTCATACAGCCTTCATACTGCAGAGTTTTCATATATTCCTGATTTCGGTCGTTAACCTTGCAAATTTACTGTTATAATAATCACATCATATTCTTTGACCATTCACAGGCAAAGAGTATCAGAAATACGCTTTGTTTGATAATCACAAGATGAATCGTTTGTATATAAAGAAGACCAGCCAAATCTAAGGTGGAATGATACTGTTTTATATCAGTAGTTATTAACTACAAATTTGAACAATTCAACCAATTATCCAAACAATTTATCATTAACCAAGTGTGGTTAGTGATTATTGCCTACATAGTAACTTCATGTTATTTAGTGATTTTGACAACACTAAATTAACAAACATTCATTTAATGTGTTTAACCTTGACCTCCATTTTTTGTTTTCCTACCAACTCTTAATCGTCTTTTCCGTTTGATCATTGATTAATTTGTCAACTGTACATTTTATGGAAGGGTTAGTGTCATTAACCCACTGTTTAACTCATGATAAATACGGAGGGGCATGAATCTAGTACCTGTTGAAAAGACAACTGGTTCAATCACCAAACCATCTGTGTACATTAAAAGACCAGATCCTGGTTCTTTCAAATAGTTTATGATAGTAACTTGAGTACATTAGTGTTTGTGCCGTCGTAGGTGGACAGTATGAATATCGCTCGGAACATTATTACTTCCTGGGCGTAAAATTCATCCAAAGTCAGTCAGTCAGCTACAACGTAGGACCAGGCACAAATATGCATCGGTCCAAGTTTCCATACCGCACTAGCAAAGCAAGATTAACACCGGATTCATAGAAGTAGTTAATTCAGTGGTGGTAATATATAAAAAAAGATTGCATATAAGGACATAGTATAGGAAGAAAGAAATAGTTGATAGAAAGAACTACATGAAGCGATTTTAATTTCATACTTTAAGGGAAGACAGAAAGCAATAATGGTTTTCCTTGTGCAGCAACTGTGACACTGTGTGACTCCGTATAATAGTTACGTTTTCTTTCTGGTCATAGTCTACTAGAGTATTCTCTATTATCTACTTCTTTTCATTGTATACTTAGGGGATCACAAAAATAGTTCTTCATGTTCGGCAGATTATCTCTTGGTCATTTGTTTTCACCATAAAATTTCCATGATGCCCAGATTATATGTTGCATTAAATAGCTTATTTTTAATAGTTGAAGACCACTCAATTAAGAGACCTATAAACTGGAGACATGAATAATAACAGTAACATGATTCATTTACTAAGTACAAATTTCTTTGCTTAACTTTAAGCCTCATGTTTTTTGTGTGAGGGTTAGTGTTTCTATCGTGCTGTTCTAACTGTTTATTTATTTATTTATTTGAACACATAAATATTGGTACAAGAGAGCGCCAATATATATGCGCCACACAAAACAATGGAAATTCGAAGAGAAGTAGAAAGAAAAAAAAAAAACTAAGGAACGCAAAAGAAAAAGAGAGTAATGACGAAGAGGTACAATCAGAAGAAATCTTTCAGGTAAAGGAGACACAACCACTTTTTATGAAGAAAGTAAAAGAAGGTTACAGCAGGATCGCCACTGGCTTCTATTCTGAGCCATATCTGATAACGTCTCTAGCCACTGTGTTGCACCATCTCTCGGACCCCAGCCAGGGAGTCGTGAAGGACCAACACAAGCCAGTCCTTTGCAGCTCTCTTTCATGCCACGACACCATGTCATGCACTGACCACCTCTCCGCTTCTTCCAACCAGTCCCAGAGTCGGCAAATAATGCACGACGTGGAATTCTCTGGGACCCTGGTGGTCGATGCGTGCTAATGAGCTGGAAGCAGCAGCTGCATCTGGTAACTACCGGAAGCTCTTCCAACTCATCCGAGCCACTGGCAGCAAGAAGTCTGGTGTGAGTGAAACAATCTGCGAGGATGATGGGATGCCAATCACAAACATCCATCGACGTCTTGGACGATGGGCAGAATTTTTCGAAGGGCAGTTCAACTGGCCTGCTGCTCCGGTAACATCGGTCAGACTGTCCTGCCCTCCATGGTCGGTGACGACTGATCCACCAAATGAGGAGGAAGTCCACAAGGAACTCCAACTCTTGAAGCGTTACAAATCACCTGGCCCAGATGACTTACCTCCGGCTCTTTTTAAAGATGGTGGTGACTTTTTGACTAAGGAATTGACGACGTTGTTTACAAAGGTTTGGGATCTAGAGAGTGTACCAACGTCATGGAATGAGTCGATAGTTGTCCCTATCTTTAAAAAGGGTTCACGTCGTTCTTGTAACAACTATCGGGGGATAAGTTTACTTCCGATTGCGTCCAAGCTATTGGCTTCCGTCATTCTTCGTAGGTTGTTCAAAACCCGAGAAAGATTGACTCGCGAGGAGCAGGCTGGGTTTCGTTCTGGTCGAGGATGTATTGATCATATCTTCACCCTCCGCCAAATGTTAGAACACCGCCATACTTTTCAAAGGCCAACAATCGTAGTGTTTCTTGACATCAGGGCTGCCTTCGATTCGTTGGATAGGACTGTTCTCTGGGATTGTCTATTGAAGAAGGGTGTGCCTGAGAAGTTTATTAACATCCTAAAAGCCCTGTATAAAAACACCTCAGGCAGAGTGAGGGCATACAACCACCTCTCTCCATTGTTCCATTCGAGCAGTGGGGTTAGGCAGGGTTGCCCAATCTCACCATTCCTCTTCAACTTTGCCATCGATGACATTCTGGAAACAGCTCTGATGGATCTAAGTAATGGTGGTGTGGATCTGTTGCCTGGAGAAAGACTTCTCGACCTTGAGTATGCGGACGATATTGTCTTACTGTGCGATAATGCCCAAGGCATGCAATCCGCACTTAATCAGTTGGCAATCAATGTCCGTAGGTATGGTATGTGCTTTGCACCTTCGAAGTGCAAAGTACTTCTACAAGACTGGCAGGATCCC